CTTACGGTTAAACCTTTCAAAAGAATCGACTCCTTTGCCTAATGCTGTGTCGGCTTTTTCTAAGGCAGTGCAATGGATGTTTTATGATCTATACACCAAGAACTATTTGTTGAAATTGGCCTAAACTTGTTAGATAGCCAAAAGAGTTGAAACGAATATGAAATCCTCCATAATCTTGTTAGTCTGAACATCAGACGGGCAGCAGCAGGACACAGAGTCCTACTTTGTTGCGATGAACTTAAATGGATCGCATTAAAATTTCGAATGAGTTTGATCGTATGCAGATGTCGAAATACCCTAATCTCGAAACGCGATTTCCCAACTCATATAATTTACATGCGAATTGGTTAGGAGATGGCTCTCTTTCCGACTCAGTTTACACGAGTTAAGTGAGACCAGGCAGAAGAGAGCGTTCTAGAAGTGGTTAGAGTTCACAAGGCAATATATTGTTATTTGTAAAGGTAACTAATGATACCTTATAATCTGATATTGAAATCATGTATATTTGCGGTAGAAGTTTAATTTCGAAGCTTAAGGTTGCCGGGACTTTGACAAAAATTTAATCGCATGCATCTTCGCAACATAGAAGCCACGAACCATTTCGCTACATTGCATCTTCCTTCGCAAAACTATATTATTATACATTTAGATTCATGCTCGGCTTCCCGAATCATGTCGCAGGACTACAAAGCGAATGACCTCTCCTAGCGTCTTAGACAGGTTCGCCGGCTCTTATCACGCGCAAGCTTTCAATTTTGATCAATCAACTCCTTACTTACAAATGCTCTTTACGAGTTCTGCCGTGCCGATATCTGCTTTGTCTGTTTCGCTCAGCGAATTTCTTGCAGTGTTTCCTCTCCGCCACGTGGCTTTAAAACACAAATTAAATGTTTACGCGAAGAAGGTTTAACAAAATCAGCCAGTTGCATGAGAGTCGTAGTGAAAAAAGCTATTTTTTCTTATACCACTGCTCGCGTGCTGGCGTGTTTAACCGGAGAATTCTTCTCTCGATGGGTTTGTTTTCAACATCAATGGCAACAGGTGAGTTTTTTCTGTATTCGCTTCAAAGATGTTCGTTATTCCCAACTTAAAAACATATTGTCATCGCCAAGAACTGCGCGTGCTGTAGGCTTCGCCATCAAACCAATCACGCCATCACAGAAATATCTATTTATAAGGCTGCGTTACCCAAACTGCTGTATCAATGGCAAAAGGCGGGCAAACCCTTATTTTTGTGTACATCTTAGTTATCGGCAGATTTCCGTCAATATCATCACAGAATGTTTGTACAAAACATCATAACGAAACTGACTATCGACACTCGAGTACTGAAGACAATCGGTTTATTTCTTTCATTGCTTTCCACTGTTCGCTGGCTATGTCATCTTATCGTCTGCTTTTAAGGCAAAAGACAGGCGCTAATATTACTATAGCGTCTTTAGGCTAAAAAATTTTCAAATGAAATATTCTTAGTGAAAAATCTAAAATTGGAAACTCACTCTAAAACCGACAGTAAATTCTGAGCCATCTTTAAATCGCATAAAATTACTAACATTCTGTTATTCTCTACAATCTGTTCGCACCATTGCAAAGCGCTCGAGAAACTCTGTCAAGAACAGATTTTCGTTTCCAGAAATAGTCAGACCTATCTTTACGACCCATGTCTGTTATTGTTGTTATAATATGATCCAAGTAATTGATGATTGTCGAAAGTGCAGTTCTAGATCCCCTTGGCACATATAACCCTTGTCTTGGCTTTTATTATAGTCTGCAAAATTCGATCATCAACATTTGATTGTACGGGTATTACTTACGTGGATAACATCATTACCTATTCAGCTAAAATTAAGCTCGGATATTCAAATGAGCACAGTAGAGATACTTCAATACCCACGAGTCAGTCACCATGTTTATTGCTACACATATTGTGCCACCCGTTACGTATTCACACTTGAAAGTATTCACGGTTTCCTTTAAAAATTATCAAAATTTTTCCAATCAAAAAATTGATAGCCAGCCAAACACCAATATTCTAACATATCACCGAACACGCATCCATTGAGTTAGAAATTGAGATTTTGTTTAGTACTTTCAGAAGTATTCAGGGGTTTTAGTTAGACTAAGTTTTTAGGGTGAATATTTCAAAGTTTTCATCGAATCGTTTAATTAGAATCCCGAATATTCTTCTACAGTTAACAAAAGTAAGATTTTTGAAGATTCGATTTAGTTAAAACTGTGGATGCCTATTCTATAGCGAGTCCTTTGACATTTATTGGAAATGATTGAGTTTTGTCCCGGATCTGGGTCAATAGTGGGGTGATTTGTAGAGACATATCATGCTTCTATGGAATCCCAGCCGCAAGGTACAGCTAGCAGGATATTTTATGTTGACGACTACTTCAAAGTCTATCAGTGTAATCAACCGCTTTCAACATCGGTTGGTCGGAGCTTGTAGAAAATTGCTTGATTCAATGCTTCTGTTGGTCGTTATGATCGGAATGAAAAATGATCAGTGGCGAAGCCAAAGGTCCTGCTGGTCCTGCTGAGCAGGACCAAGAATTTCCAAAGATAAGATTTACGTAAACAATAAACAATTTCTTCTTTGCAAAAAGGAAGTTTCAAATTCTATTTGATAAACAGTCCCCAGTTCCGCCAGCTGATACAGGCATACTGTGCTAATCTCAAGGTCCTGTTCTCTTCTACGGCAGCCCTGTATTTTGGTCCTGCTCATAACTGTGATACCCTATGTTTGGTCCTGCTTCACAATGGGCTTTTGTGAATTTAGTCCTGCTTCACAATAGTCTAGAACAAAGAGCAGTCCTGCTCAATCTCGGGAGCAGGACCTCGTCGAAATGATCATCATAACATTTCGTAAGCAGTAGTGATTTGATTGGTTGAGGGTTCACTTACATAGGTCAAAAGGTAATGTTTTGAAAACCTTTGGTCCTGCTATTTCTGAGAGCAGGACTGCAAGAATTGCCCTGTGCATTCTCGTTCTGCTATGAGACACTAGCAAGGAGGCCAGTTCAAGTATTATGGCGAGGCGATGTGAATGTGGATTTCCTGCTTGCTTTGGCAATACCAATGATATTATTATTGACAGCAAAACTTGCCTCAGTTGAGCTGCATAAATTTTATTTGTAACAAGACAGAGTCCAAAGTTCGCGAGAAAGAAATGGTAAACAGCAAGGATTGGCTGTATGGGGCACACTGATTTCAGCCTTCATACGATCGTTTGAGGCACGGTATATCATGGTGGCCTAAACGAATAAGATTTTCTTAGACTTGGACAAGGACGATAAAAGCATAATTGAATTTACTGTTGTGTGATTGAAATTTTGGAGTTGGAGAATAAACCAATTTCAGCGGAATTTGCATTTGTAAGAGATCAACGGGCGACTGATTGCTATGTTGAATACCGATGAACTGAATGCTGAACTGCTAGTGTGAAAGTGTATTTTCCTACCTGAATTGTTTACTCGTTTAATGGTTTGGCTAATGAAGTTGTTTTCATTGATAACGCGACACATTATTCAATTGTACCTCTCTTTGTCAGCTGCAGAATAATTGTTCTGCAGAATTTGTGAACTTGCCCCTACAGACTTTAAACTCTGTTGTTTATTAAAATTATTTTAATAGAGTATCTAGATTGGTCAGGTATTTTAATAGAGTGTCTAGATTGATCTAGATTGGACCAAAATCTTGAATAGTATAATTAGACTATTTCAACTACGACAAATATATGATATGCAACTTCAAATGCCACCCCTACCCCCTTTTATTGTCAAATTTAGTTATCACCAATTTGAACTTTTACTTCAGCTGTAGAGGCTTACTTCAATTAACATAGATTTGTTTGAAAAGTAAGCACCCTAAAGCACGTCTTTAAGTATGGGTTTATTTTTCAAAAGATAGACATCGATTTAAAATTTGCTTTTTACTGCAAAAAAGTTCATCTACAAAAAATAATTTTTGTTCATAGGCGTTTCCTATTGAATAAGGGCGTGGCCCTGTACATACAGCAGGACCAACAATTTTTGGCTTGCTTCGCCACTGAAAATGATATGATATTTTCATGCGCGGGTGTTTAAACTTCCCTTACAAAATATTCTATGTTCATATTCCTTATGTTAAACACTTCATATGAAGTTTGGAAACCGTTCATAAACATTTGGAAAGTTAAACAACGTGATTACAGTTATATGACTATTGCCCCTACAATATTCTCTGTATCATTATTAGCGTATTGAAGTCACGACTATTCTTCCGTGATAATGCTTGTTTTGGCTTTCTTAACGTATCTTCCAAGTAAAAACGTGAGACCAGGGTTATTTTAAGGGGGATTAACAGTAAGAAATTGTCACAAAACATAAATTTCGAACATTTTTTCAACAAATCAAATCGGTCGTTGATGATTCACACAATCACATGGAAACTTCTAGATAGCTTCCCTAAGAGAAAATAATTATGTGTAATAGACATATGGTGCTACCAGATTTGTCGCCGGGAAACCCTTTTGAGAAATGGTCAGGTCTCGAGTCGCCGTTGAAGTAATTTTTGCTGTAAAAAAGTAATATTTCAACGTCCAACTGTCGGTGCTCATAGCTGGACATCCAAGATTTGCCAGGGAAATCGATTGTTTGTGATCCTTTGAGATGTTAAATCAACACCCTTGGGATATATTTCGAGTTCATAGCCCGTCCAATTTGTTGTGGCTTTAGCCAGCAGGTGCTGCGCCAAAGGGGGGTCAAGCGACAAAGACGGACCATTTTCAGAATATAGCCTCTCTCACATTACTTATTTTTGTCTTGTACCTCTGCTCAAAGTCGTGCTATCCTATCTAATGCCGTGTTTTAAAAAAAAGAATGAGCAAAATCTAGCCTATAATCTCAAAAACAGAGAGTAAACATGTAAGCATGTCTTGATGTTGGACTTCTCTGTCCACTTTGCTTTGAAGATATAATTCCTTAGCATTTAACTTTCGAATATTCTTTTTTCAGATTGTCTGAGAAACTAAATATGGCGTTGGCTATTACTTTTGTGACGTCATTGGTTTTATTAACTGCAGACTGTAAGTATATTTAGAGCTAGTTGTGTTAGCAAAGCCATTTGAGCTCCTCTAAATGACAAGGTCTCAGAGTAGAAGAATGCGTGATACACTCACTTGATAAAAATGTCATTTTTTGCTAAGTAATGTTAAAGATAATGACCTTTAAAATACAAAATTCAAGATTTAGATTTTTTCCCATGTACCACATATGATAAAACCTGATCAATATTGGCTGATATTTAGTCCAATGAACTCAACCTGATTTTAGATCGAACAAAACCTAAACTACACCAAATTTTTTGTGAACTTCATGTTTTTAATGATCAAGCGTCGAACAAACTGGAACAGGCTCAACAGAATTAGTACAGTAAGGATATTCTACACAAATTATGTCGTCCGATTTTGAGAATCTATAAAAGTTTATTTTTTTGTGACGTCCTCATGTTTAACTCCCTGACTTTTAAATTCCATGGCAATTTCGAAAGAGCAATTTTTTAACTTGTGGCATAACTATTTTATTTTGTTATTTTTCTGCAGAGATTCTTTACGCAAAATTTGATCTTCGTAGGCCTCTTTTAAGTTCCTTGCTAAAGTACACAACTGTTACGTATAAAAGGCACCTTGCTGTGCAGCTAGCAAAAATTTTTGATAAGATTATTCTCTGAAAATTGTTTACACTTTTCCAATTGATTAATTTTAATCGGAAACTTGATTACGATAGCGACATTTTTCTTCGTTTTAGCTGGATCAGCCGTCCTGTTCAATTCTTGCTTACGAAAGCTCGGAGTTTCAAACAGCAGCATTGTTAGAGATAGTCAAATAACAGCTTCGTCATATTTATACGGCGAACGAAAGGCAATATATCACTTTAAACCCTATTTTGCAAGATTGCACACGCATGGTGGCGGAGGAGCATGGTGCTCTAGCAATACAAATGTAGGCCAATATATTCAAGTAGATTTCCTTCGCAACCTCAGAATAAACTATTTACAAACCCAAGGTCGATATAGGGGAGCTGAATTTGTTGAGAAGTACAGGTTGCAATATCAGAGGAGTACTGATGCTCAATGGAGATCCATCACAGACAATTCTGGCCGAGAGAAGGTAGGAGTTTTGGAAAGCGATTTTTTCCGCTTCATTGTGACTCTTACATCAGTTACTATTGAAGACTTCTTTAGCTAGGCGCTTCAGGTAAAGGCAAGTCTAAGGATCCTTTTCAATCAGATTGTGTTTAGGTTAGAAGTAGACCAGTTAAGTAGGCAAAGATAACCCGGCTGACCGGTCTAGCTCGCTACATACAAACACGCAATAAAGTTCATCTCGACAGAGCGAGTCTACCCGGCCACCCAGCCACACGCAAACTGACCCTGAGACAAAGAGAATAATTAATCTAAAGCGAAATCAACATCTGTTATATTCACTTGAGATTGCTTGCAGCCCAAAGAGCTTTGTTTTCATAGAAATTTTAGTTAAGGCAAAACATTTTTATTGAAGTCATTAGCCTTATGATTGCTAAAAAATTTAAGCTTGTTACTAGACAATTTCGGTTCCCCTGTCAAGGGAAAAACAATTGGCTTGTCCAGAACTTTGCAAAATATAGTTCAATTTTAACTAGACCAAGTCATTGAACGGGATGACCGGACTCAGAAAAACAAATATATCTAGAGCACCTGATTCGGTCATATAGATCCCAAGGACACTAATGTCCGGTTTGGTTTCTGCATGTCCAAGTCCGGTGCTTCCGTGGGAACCATAAAGTCGGACTTTGTCGAGCAGATCTTTTGAGATTCTGACATAGATCTGCAATTAAGGATTTTATAGTTGATGGTGCAATTATTTTATATTTTCATTATCCCAAGATATTCCATGGAAACAACGACACGGACACAGTGGCTGGAAACCGGCTTCCCCACACTATCATTGCAAGAAGGGTCCGACTTTTCCCAACGGGCGATTATTTCAGCATCCATTGTTTAAGAATGGAGATGTATGGATGCAGTTACGATAACGGTATGATAATAACAGTTAATTTTTGACATTGAAAATTCGATTTAGAAAGTGGTATTGATGCAACTAGTAACCTAGAAAATACCTCCTTATAGAATATTTATCTGTTGTTTGGTTTTAGACAGCGGAGCATTTCATGATTCCCTTTAAGGTTTTTAACGAAGAAAATATTGTTTAGAGTTGTGCTTGAGTCTGAAGCAATTATGACTGTTATTGTTGTAGTTATTTAAATTATTTAGAATTATTACAGAGTTATATTGTATTAATAAATAAATTATTACATAAATAAATGCATTAATTCATTGCCGCTTTTTTATCGTTGAAATGGAACGTAAATAAAAACCTTCTCAAGATAGAATTTATTATGTTCCATTTATAATTCTCAAAGAATGTTTTTCTCTTTCTAGCATACTTGGTTTCATACAGTGCTCCCGTCGGTATAAAAATCGGAAAATTTGATTTTACTGATAGAAGCTACGACGGTAACTATGTCAACAAGTCAAAGATGCTGCAAGACGGGCTAGGTGATCTAGTCGATGAATATTATGGAAGCAATGACTTACAAACTGGTTGGGTTGGCTATAACCTGTCGACAGTGGTCCTAACTTTCAAGTTTAGCAAGTTTCAGAGCTTCAGCAGTTTCATCCTTGAGACAAGAACGTTGGCGAGAACAGACGTTCTACTTAAAAGCGTCGAGATTATGGCAAGCATAGATGGTAGAAAGTACTTTTCTGTCAAGAAGGTATCTGAAGTCATGAAGCAGAAATCAGGGAACAAGCTAACTGTAAACATTAATGTTTACAGTGCGAAGTTCATACGCTGCAAACTGGTTAGAAAAATTCCGAAGGATATCATACTTATCAGTGAAGTTTCCTTTTTAAAAGGTGAGCGAATTTGAACAAGAGCGTTTTTGTTTCAAATATTTACTTTTATAGATAAGCTTTTTTGAAGAGCCGACTGCGGAGATTAATTGCTCTAACGACGGGTTTATGGAGGAGATACATGGAGATTTTAGGACAGTCCTAAATTGCCAACTGGAAATGAAAATTCATCTTTGAACAAGACATTATTAACATGAATTGGACAAAAGCAATTTGAAATAAATGAAACATGTTTCCTACAGTCAGTTTTTAAATAGCACTTCTAATACAAAATGTACCAAATTTAAGCAAAAATGTTTTAATAAAGTATTGGGCAATGATACTTAGCAATGATGATTGACCTTTAAATATAATTTAAAATTTCTCAACATTACGGTGCCAACTGAAGACCTCAAGTTATTGCAGAGCCCAGCTTCTTGCTAAGTAACAAACTCCTAATTTGATAGGGGTTCTGGATTTGAAGCATTGACTAAAAAATTACTAAGTTAATTTCGATAGGTTAAAGCCAAATTTTGTAAGCTTTGAGAGTGTGCAGAATAAGTATTTTGAACAAATCAACAGAAAGGTTAAACTGTATTCTCAAGTTGCAATTTCAGATCTCAGACAATTTTTGTTTACTGTACTGCCACGTGTTTGCTGCAGAAAGGATTTAACGAAATGTGTTTAATTATCAGGTCCTCCAAGGAAGCCTACAACAACTCAAAAACCAACAACATCTTCAGCAAAAACAGAGCCTAAATCAACTAGGATTACAAGAAAGCAATCCACATACCCGAGGGTTCTCTCCAGTAAATATACAAAAGAGGTTAAGATTTTCTCACATCAGGGAACAGAAAATAGGAGCCTTGCGACAATATTTTCGTCTGAAGGTAAGACAATTTTGCGTTATGTATACAAAAATTAAGGTATTTGGTCTCAATATAGCTTTGAAAGCCAGTCGAATAATTAAGGAAGGGAAAGTTTTTTAATGAGTGAGGCAGCCCTCCGTCCCGGGGTCAAAGAGCATGCGCACAGAACGAAGTCATTAGTACGCATGCTCTTCGACTCCAAGCCGGAGGGCTGCCTCACTCAATTGAAAAATTTTGCTCGCTCGTCTCCCAAGCAAGGAAGATTGGAAGATAACAACACTCTGACTTTGCTCTTGAAACCTGCATATGTACTGAAAGTATCAGAAAATGTTTTCTTGCTCGTAAACTTTTGACAAAATGCAGATGATTACAATAAAAAAAGGCAGGACTTTAGAGAGTTTTTTTGATGGTAAGGGAGTGTGTTGATGGACAGCGAGGAAGAAGATAAATGGAAGGGTAGAAAAGGGGTGATCCTGCTTATATTTTGAATTTTTTTAAAGATTTTCCCATAACAAAGCTGAAAAAAGAAACACTTTTAGGAATATAACCGCGTCTAGATCAAAAAATTTACAAAGAAACGAATTTTTGTGTAAAACAAGATTATATAAGTATGGGTGAAATTATTTCATTTTTCTGGCAGATGCCAAGGCAGCACAACCACGTGGTGGATCAAAGCGAACGAAGTCCTTTTACATTATTCTTGGCATCGGCACATCAGTTGCTGCAATTTTTACGCTGATGATTATTATGTTGATCTGCTTTTTAAGAAGAGAAAAATCGGATGGAAAAGTCGCTAAAAAATTTAATCACGGTAAGTATCCGAGACTCACTCACAAGTCGTCAAACTCTTAAACTTAGGAATTAGTGAGCCATCCATTTCGAATAGAAATCTGGTTTATTTGTTAATAGGTACTTTTTTATTTGTATTTTATTACTAAATAAGTTATCATCCCTGGTAACTAATGATTATTTTATTCTCATTAGACTTAAACGTTGTCGCTTGATTCTAACTGTCAAAAAGTCAAAGAATACCAGTACATTAGGCTCCATAAATTTTCTCTCTTAGGCAAGCGGGGATCCGACGCAACAAAAGTGAGTGAGCCTTTGCTGAAAAACACAGAATTTCAGGGAACTTGCGGAACTTCCAAATACATAGGCCCTGAGATTGTTGTTGTCAGCGGATTTCCGTCAGAGAGAGAAATTTCACGAGCTGCTGTCGAATTCGAGAACAAAATAGGAGGTGGAAAGTTTGGAGAGGTGTGTTACTGTTGATTTTCTTGAAATACTTATTTTCACTTTTATAACATAACAATAATGATAATAATAATTTTTGCTTTTAGCACTTTTAACAATCTATGACAGTATAGATACAAAAAGGGTTTCTTTATGAAGTTCGCTGAGATGAATTGAATAGAACATTATAGAACAGCATTAATTGTTCAATACTTGAGCTTTTTCATCTTTACAACATACATTACAACAAGACCTTTACGTTTAACAGTTTATCTGCAACACGTTAAATTGTCATGTCTCCTTTAAAAAAATGCTCTCAGATGATATTGTATGATTGTGAATTCTTACATTGCTTTACCTTGAAACTTACTTTTGGACGAAATAACAATTTGGATGTTTGAGTTAGTTTGATTACTGTTGACTGAAATTTTTGTCCAAAATAAAAAAAAATCTTGTGTCATTTAATTTGCCCGTTTAAATACACGGCTTGTGTTGCTTTCCAATATTTAAGTCTCGAGAAGTATTTTTGGATTGTAATAAGTGCTTCCCACACATAGATGTACGAATTGCTAGCTATTAATTGTACACATGCATCTTCGTGCGCATACATGCAGTTTATTTCAATGAATATTTCCCACTCAAGATTTCAACCAAAGCCGAGTATAGGGCTGTCATTATTGTTTTGAAAATATCTGTCATTAGTCCAAAAAATGTTTTTACATTAGGTAAAACATAATGTAGCCCAAAACATCATGAAAACCTGCTGCTCTAAACACCCAAGTAATATCGCTGTCATCTTCTTTAAATTACTTAAAGTGCAATATATCTTGCAAAAACAATAAACTGCTTCGTGTAAAAACAAACTGTATCAGGTTGGAGTCTTAAACTTTCAGATATTCTACATGAAATGTTTAATCATTTAATTTAAATCAACAAAGCGTTCAGTGCAACAGAAAACATTCAGATTAAAAACTACAATCTCAATTTTAGGTTTTCATTGGACAAGTTATCTGCCCAAGAGATGACAGCTTAAGTGCCTCTGTCCACAATTTGGTCGGACAGAAGGTTTTCATCGAAATGTTGCGCAAGGGAGCATCGGTCGAAATATCGACACAGCTGCTAGATGAAATACGCGCCTTGTCCTGTTTACGGCACCCAAACATTTGCCGTCTAATCGCTGTTTGCACGAAAAGTGAGCCGAAGTTCCTTCTGAGTGAATGTCTCGAAGGAATGCGCCTCGACTCCTACCTTGCCAGCCTAAACCAGACAACAAACACTCGAAAAGGCGAAATATTGGCGGATATCGTTGTTAAAGTTGCGAGCGCTTTGAAGTATTTGGCGTCGATGAAGTACGTCCACCGCGATATTTCGTCCAGAAATGTGCTGTTTGGTGTGGGAAACATCGTGAAACTAACAAACACAGCTGCAGCTTGCCCTGGCTACTACGATTGTTACTGTTATTTGAAAGAGAAAGGCGGACTTCACCCCATTCGATGGATGGCACCAGAAACCCTAGATGATTCTTGCTGCTCAGTCCAAAGTGATGTTTGGTCGTTTGGAGTGTTGCTTTGGGAGATTTACACATTTGCAAAGGTTATTCCCTTTGAAAGGCTTGGCAATATACAAGTTTTAGATCGCCTCAAGGCTCTGTTCAAAGAGGGAAGCGGTAATGTAGAATACTTGCCACTCAAGTTCCTAAACTGCCCAACACTGATTATTCAAGTTATGCTTCGTAGTTGGTACGTTTCGCCTGGCCAGCGAATCACAGCCGACGAAATTTACGAGTTGCTTACTAGATAGAGTTGAGAACTCTTTCCTGATTTCCTGAGAATAGAATCAAGATATTTCAACACAAACTGATACTTTCGAATTACTTTGAGGGCTGGCAAGAACTTTGACAACTTTTTCATAGCTTGTCGATTGATTTTTGAGCCTTTTCAGTTTAGAGTTGTACTATAGTGTTGAAATCTATTGCCAACGTATTGCTGGTCCGTAAATTGCTCCGGAGGTAAGGAGAATCGTTGCCGTTAACGTTCGGTATCATTTCATTTTCATTATCAAACAGCCTGTTATTTCAAACCGCTTATTGAGGTGCTACCAATCAGGCTGAAGCCGGTCTGGTGAACCATGCCGATTTTTGATGCCTTGTTTTCGTTTTTCGTTGGGTTTTAGTGTATTTCAAACAACCCTTGTAGCGTTCTCTGACGGATGGATCCCAAAGGGAATTTTGAGTCTCCTCGCTATGGTTAGGTTTACCAGAGAAACGTCTGCGGATAGTTTATGGGTTGGACAGGAAATTATGTACAAAATCTTTTTTCAATGATGCAACAGAGCACAAGACAAATATCTGCAAAAAAGGATTACGACTTTGCTTCATTTCAAGGTTGTCAATCTAAAATGCAGACGTTAACCTATGACGTTGGTGTAGTAGGGGCTTGTATCCCATATAGCATCATAGTGGCTTGATAGCAAGTTTAATGGCAATAATGCATTTGGAGTAAAGGTTTAAGCGTACTGGACATTATGATAATTACTACAAAAACGATATTCCTTACTCATTTTGACAACAGAGTGAGGTCCCTTGTATCGGAGGTTGGGTTGAGCAGGCAACAGGAGAAAAGCACGGGGAGAGAGAAATATGAATGATAAATACAGAGGGTGGTTTGGGGGGGAGAAATATGAATGCTAAATACAAGATTACTAGAGAGTACAGCTTAATATTGATGCCAGGGCACAGGGAAATAGCATGTTTTGAATAGATTACTTGTACATTCCCTGTTTTACTTTAGTAGATATCTTAGCTTTAGGGCTTTTATACTTCACGCCTTTCTCCTCAACAGAATTCCACTACTGATCAAAACTTTTTGTATTTTCGCCTTTTTGAGTGATGAAACAATTTGAAAATTCAAATGGATGATAAGACCTCTCTTAAAAACTTAATGGTTGGCGAATTCGTCTTCCAAAAGCTAAATTTTATTATGCTGTTTTGCAGACGCATAATTCGTTGGTTCTTGACAGCATCCTTTAAATACATTGGTACAGTTTTTATGAAATTCAGGACCTTGTTGGAACAATTAGATGTTGATTTTCATGCATTTACAAGCATCATTTGTGTTGCTCTTAGTCTCATCGCTGTAGTTATTGTTGTTCAAAGATTTGTATCGTATCTTCTTTACATTCTTGTAATTATTTCGATCTTTTCAACTTGTTAGTCCCGTTGATTAACAAAACAAATATTGTGACTTTGATTAATAAAAAATGATTTTATTATAATCCACTAGAACCACCTAACTCTCCTTGCATGCCTTAAAGGGCATACGTCGCATTAACAGTTGGCTAATAAAACAAAAGCGTTTGGAGTGGAACTCCATTATTTCATGACTTTCGTTTTTCCCTCTTGAATTTTGACCCTCGATTCTATGCTTAGTACAAAACAAACAAGATTATTGTATTGCATTAGCCAATCATGTTCAAGACACATGCTCTTTAAACTTTATCAGAGTTTTGTAGACTTTTCAGTGTATAATTTTTAACTTAATTTTTTGATAAAAATCTCTCTAATGAAAAAGCGCGAATAAGGCCAAAATTAGGCCCTTTAGAACTATGATGTCACAGTTATCAAAACCAGGGTTGCATTCTGTCAACGTTTGCTGCTTTTTGTATATAATAGTTGATCTAGAGTTTAAAGTTGTAGATTTCTCTATTGATCTAACCGTAGTTACTAACGATAGTAGATATATCGAGGGAAGTTGTAAATAGTTCATACGAAATTACTTGAAATTCTTGATCGAAAAATTTGTTTTTGTAGAAAGATTAAACTTTATGTTCCAGATATAATTATTGTTAATTGTTCCTTTTTCATTGATCAAGTAGATTTTGTTTAAATCGAAGTTGCCTTTTTGTTCATGCTGTCCTCTTACATTTTTTACTTAAATGCCGAGTCTCGTTGCTGAATGCTCAAAGAGCTTCACCGTAAAATTCTCACTGATCTTTCGTTTAATAAGACGGTTTATGGTTTATGAGCGCGCCAGTGAACTATCTAAGTCCTTCTGGGGAGAGGGGAGAGGGGGGGGAGAAGGCTGCATGAATCTTTTACCTTGCAAATTATATTTATAACTTTGCAATCGTCTTCAATTCAATTTGATCTCCACCATTGTTCTCTGGATCAAAAAGTTCAATGATTGTTTCTAGTAAATCAATTCAATTTTTAGCCTCGTTTTGGAAATCAAACCAACATTTATTGCACTGCTTTTTTGAGCACATGTTCGGATTGAACACCATACTTTTTGATTGGTTACTATTTTGCATATTTTCTGTGTTGTGTTTTAAATTTCACGACGAAAGAATGTTTGAAAACTTAAAAATTGGCTTAGTCGCTAATTTTTGTTGTCATAAAACCAATATAAAGAGCACTAGTACAATGAAAACTTTCATATGGGCTGATTCTCGGTCCTTCATCTAGAACTGAAGTTAAAAATTTCTTAAAAAGATTTTAGAATTATTTGTCAAATCTAGAACTCTAATTGAGATTGTTTAACCAAGATGGATACATCCGATTTTCAAATACTCTTTAATAGTTTAGTTACCTTTACTTTTTTGGTTTTATTTTTTTTAATCAGTTAATTATTTTTTTCTTATTAAAAAATCAATAGAAAGACATTAAAAAGGGATACCTTTCTGTATCAACAAAAGAGGTTCAGCCTCCTTTCTCTACATCCCTGCGTATATTCAACAAAAGAGGTTCAGCCTCCTTTCTCTACATCCCTGCTATATAAAAGGGCACGTCAAGTAAACATTTAGTACTTGTTCTATCATCAAACTATTCGGGGACACGACCTACGGCCAAGAGGCGGATCCAGACTATAGCAGAAGCAAAGGTCAGATTTTTACAACAAAAAATAAAATGAAAACTATTAAAATCTTTAATCAATAGTTTATTTTGCAATTTCTTTAGTAACGTCCATTCTAGATCTGCCCTCGTTGATACCAACAACAAACAGAAGACAGGGCATAAATTTTGCTGACTATCTTTCAGCCTTTGCATAGAACAGTAGAGTGGCAATTCAAGGGATTTAACTGGTCTGTATTTTCTGAATCCAAAAACTTGTTTGTCCCTCGAAAGCCACCACTTGTTTCACCTCATCATGCCCACTGGCAATTTGGTCATTTGTTCAATGACTATTTAAAATAAACTCAAGGTGTCTCTACTATACATGAAATTATTGAAGTGTCGGTATATAATCATCAGTAGAAATGGCCATTGTTATTGAGGTACTAAATTAGTCATAAATGACCGTCATAATAAGGGTACTATTTGGGACACGAAATTTCTTTTACTGAGTACCACCTGAGTAGATGCCATTTCTTTGCGACGCTCAGACCACTGGATCTATTAAAGGCAATCGACAGATAATATAGGGGCTTACGCCATCTTTCAGTCAAAAGATTGACCAATCAGTAAGTGAGATTCTCCACATACGCACATTGATTGGCCAATATTTATTGACATATGGCTTAAGGTATTTTCATATATTGGCTTTTAACCTCCAATATGTGTAAAAGTGTAAGATTAAATTCAAATTTGATAAAATCTAATTTTCTTACAACCCACATTTAAAAAAGAGCCCAGAAGGGAGCTGCTTGATTCCTGTACTGTTGGCCAGTTACGACAGTTAGGTGGGGGCAAGGAAGGAAAAGGCACCCAGCCAGTTAGAATTTTGGCACAAAGAAGCAAGGAGTAGATTATAATGAAGGGCGAAAAAGCAACTGCCTGTCTGCACAAAGTCAGCTCTTTAAACCTCCTGAATTCAGTAAACAAACCATCATGCCTAGTTATTAGTTTTATTTATGTCTATAGCTATCAAACCCACAAAATAATATTTGGATTTTCTGCAAGTTTTTCACAACAAAAAGGGCACCTGATGTTAGTATTGTCGACGATATTGTATCCTTTTGATAGGTTTTGTATCAAATGCTATTGATAGGAGGGTATCGCCCACACTCCTTGTCCTGCTTTAGCTATCGGTATAGCATTTTACTACAAATAGACGAACGGATGGAAATCGTGCAAAAGTGCTTCAGAAATAGTGATGAACTGGAACTCGAGAATGCCGGTCTTTCTGTACCATTGTCCAGTACCATTTCATACCCCACGATCATTTTATGATGCACCAAGATATGGCGGAAAAAAATAAACTGTCTTTATACTATTCACAATTTACATTATAATTTGGACAAATTTTCTTTCAATACATTAACTGTCATTTGCTATATACATTTAAACAAACGTTAAGAATTTCAAAGTCAACTTTGGCCTAAACATGTTTAGCACATGAATTTATAAACACACAGCATCGGATGAAAATGACTTGGTATGATGATTTTTATTTCCAAGTGTTTAATGTGGTACCGATTTAGATTTTGCCTATTTGGTTGCTCCTTTCTTAAATGAGGATTTCTTGTTAAGTTATTAATATCATTTTCTCCTGTAGCTAAATGCATATCACCATCTGGAAAGATCTTAAAGTATTACATAACAGAGCTTTTGAACCAACGGCGTCAAGATATTAGGTTCAAAGAGAAGCACCATTCGTACTGGCGGCACAATGGGAAGGGAGGACTTGTGACACTTTCCCCCAGATTTCGGCATGATAGATCTTGCATTTTGTCAAAATGTGATAAAAATGTGTTGTAGGAGGGGTATTATTTTGGCAACGTATTCTTTGCGATGTGATTTTATGATATCGAAACCACTTATACTGAAGCAAAAGTTAGTCATAGGCGATTCCTATTGGCAAAATTGGCTTTCCTTGTTGGTAAAAGAGCGTTTTTTCACAGCAGAAAGTGTGTGGTTGAACGTTTCTGTGTCCTCCCCACCCCCCTCACAATCTTGTTGCGAGTGACTATCCCTACTGATATTTACCTGTAAGTCTGCATTATACCGTGAGATTAGGGGCAATGAATAAACATGAAAGGCGAGCCAAATTATGGGGTATGAGGAAGCTTTGCATGTTATATTATTCCGAATTCGTTTCTATCACCAGAGTCAGCATCCTTTATCGAGATTCAACAACCTTCTTTAACTAAATTCATCAATCAGCAATTAATTTTTTAATGGAGAACCTTGTTCTTCCTCTAATGTTCATGTCCTCTGCTCATCATGTTTGGACTGCACTGGCCAACGACATGAGATTTAGGCAGCTGCCAGCTGCGTCATTGCAAGTCGATGCCAGTTAATGCCTCAAACTTGCGGAGCCTTTGTAGCAACTTTAGACCAACACGCGTAGTTGTTCAAACTGCAATAGAGTATTTGAGAAAGGGAATTATGTGGCACTCCTTAGTGGTAATTCGAAAAAAATGAAGACCAAGTATGGTTAGCCAAGCATTCTAAGCGACATTGATGGGAGAAGGGGAAACTCATACAAAAAACATCTTTTATATACTCAACAAGGTACAAGATCTCTTGATACAGTTTGGAACATGTTATTGCTCAAATGCAAGAATATTTGGGAAAATACGGGAAAAAGTTGGCACTCAGCAAATACCCAGGCACTAGATATGCTTAGATCAAATTGTCTAGTTTTAGAAAAATGGCTCTGCTTCAAAAGTAGTTTATAAGATCTTTAATAATAACCTACCATTTTGTATCATTAAGCAACAAAAAACCAAATTTCTTGATTGTTTTCTTTTTTAGTTATTAGTGTATATACACACATTTACAAGAAAGGATATCGTGGGTGTTCATTGTTGGTATTTTCTTTAAAAAGCGTAAACAAATTGCTTGAGCTTTGTTGTTTGTTTTGTAAAGGTAGAAATCGTTGTCCTTCGATAAAAACTCTTTCACGTTTTTTTAAGATTAAAACCTCATCCCTATGCTCAAATCAGCCGTACCATCAATTAAGATTTTTTAAGCAAACGTTTGCGGGAAATCCCCGCAAAGATCTTACTTTGTCAATAGTTAAGACTGATCAAGGTTCTTATTTTAAGATGCATATGCTCATTTCAGGGTCAAAAGTTCTGATTCCAAATGGAATAATGGTATAATGGGGGAGAACTCTTCTGAGACAAAATTGTTCAAAAATAAAGAATATCGAGTTTTCAGGAGGTCTGTAGCTCAAAATTGCCAGCACACAGACCAAAAAAAAAATTTTTCATCCGACGCACGTTCAGTGGCGAAGCTAGCGGTCATGCTGGTCATGCTGAGCATGACTAAAAATTTTCAGAGCTAAAGACATTTATTATAATGATTAAAACTTTTCTTTATTGAAAAAGTACCCTCAAAACTCCATTCGTCCAGTTGATTCTTATTATTTCACTGCCCTTCCCTACCTTGGTCCCTTGTGGTTAGTCATGCTCATTCTGGAGAGCATGACCTGCCATAGGGTTTCTTTACTCAGAGAGCCCAACCGCTCCTGTGAGTCGGCTGAGTTTCAATGACTTTTCAGTTGGTATCCCTGCGGTAAGTCATGCTCATTTGGAATAGCATGACCTCGTCACTATAATCATAAACCTAGCACTGATTTGATTGGCTGAATTCTATCTTGCGCATGCTATCTTGGCCCGTTTTGGACCCCAAGTCATGCTCATTTTTTTCAGCATGACCGACCTAAATCTCCCATACATGAAGTATCTAAGGTCAACTTGTGAGCTGAGAAACATTGCTGCAAGGGAGTGGGGAAATTCAATCGAAGCTATTTCCGAGAGATATATTGTTTATTAACTGCTACAGGGATCACTTGCGTGTGGCTGAGCAAGGTAATTGTAAACCAAAATTGTAATTGAAAACCAAAGGCCGACCCTTATCGATGAAGAATCCTACCACTACGTTGCTGATCATACCATAACTTGTTGCTGATGGACGAACTTGTACCCTGAAACTTGCTTGTGTATTCAGTATTTCACCAAAACCTCTTGCTCATGGAATTGTACTCTTGAAAATTTCCTGTTTTGTCAAAATCACACAATAACCTGTTGCTGATGGATGGAATTTTACATGATGGATGGAAATTGCCTGTCCATTCTATCTGGTTTATTCAATATTACAACCTTACTTGTTGCTGAGAGGGACGAAATTGTACTTTGAAAACTTGCCTGTTTATTCAATATTTCACCAAGACCTGTTGTTGATAGAAAGAATTGTGCTCTTAAAAATTTCTTGTTTAGTCAATATTACAACATAACTTGTTGTGTATAAAATAAAATTCAAATTGCATCTTGCAATTTGCCTGTTATTTAATATTACACCATAACTTGTTGCTGATAAATGAAATGGTACCCTGAAATTTGCCTGCATTCAATATTACACCAACTCTTTTTTGATAAATGAAATTGTACTCTTATATTTCCTTGTTTATTCAATTTTACACCATAACTTTTGTTGATAAATGAAATTGTACCCTTAAATTTGCTTGTTTATTCAATATTACTCTATAACTTTTGTTAATACATGTATGTAATTTGCATTGTACCCTATGCAATGCAAATATATTGTATCCCTGTAATTTGCCTGTTATTCAATATTACACCATGACTTGATGATGATAATGAAATTGTACTCTGGAACTTGCCTGTTATTGGATATTTGACTATAATTTGCTGATGGATAGAGTTTAGAAATGATTTTTAATCACACTATATATGTAGCTTCCACACAGCCAACCTTTTCAGTGCAGTTTGATTTCCCCAGGGCTTTCGGTTGCCAGGAAATTTATGGGGTTTCTTAAACATGGAAGACCAAAGTTATAGGAAAGCCCTTGATGTTGGGCTTGGACTTAACTTGTTGATGTTCATGGCATGTTACACCTTAAATACAGGGGTCAAAACTTTTTGTATATGCTAAACAGTACTATCCTTGATACATTTGTTTTAGATATGTAAAAATTAAGCTTATAAAATTGAAGCTAAGTATAAAATTCTGAACCAAGAAACAAGCATCCCACAATTCCCTGTATCATAAACAAGGGAGGGCCTACCTATCATCGAGGGCTTATCTTGCCTAATTCATCTTAATTCAGAAACATCATCAAAAGTGTCAATAATTAATAGAAAGGGAATGGATATTTCTTAGCCCTTGCTGATTTAAATAAGCTGATTTATCAAAAGTTTAGATTTTGAAAAATATTTGTAGATATTCTCTCATCTGCAATGTTTTTCCAGTATGATCAGTAGTGTTTGTTGGGGGGTTTTCAAATGCACAATTTTTCAAAAACATTGTCCCAAAGATATTTCCAAAACACAACATTGGAGAATGGGGTGGAAAGAACATTTAGATGTTGAAGTCCTTGACATCATTGATTGCGATCTAAACAAGAGCTATTTGATTCAATATACTTAAAAGGGCGTTACCCCCCTTTTCCGAGCATCTATAGGGTGTGGTTGTGTGTAATTTTCCTGGGGGCTATGCCCCCAGACCCCCATCCCCTTTCTCTCCCATACAAAGCATGACCATTGACTTAAGGCCAGCTTCGCCACTGCGCACGTTAGATGATAAAAGTCCGGATTATGACTGAAAATGGTACCGAAATGTGCTCCCAGGGTCCGAAAGGAAAGTAGCGTGAGAAAGAGTGGCTTGATTGGTTGATTCTTTGTTTTCGACCAATCAGCAAATACCAAACCATCACGCACCTGAATTCAACGTTAAAAACGATCTAAAGAGGTTTCTGTCTACAGAAATCCGGAGTGCACTTACCATCCTACAGTATTGCAGACTAGAGAGTTTCGCCATTCAGAGATACCCGCTCTTCCTTTAGTTCGTCACGAGATCTACTGTCTTTTGCTAGGCTGGTCGTTTCTCGCTGTTTTCTCTTTGACTTTCGCGAAGAACGGACAAATCTGAAGATCACAACTAACAATGCAATGACAATGACAATGCCAACCAACACGATTGTGAGTATTATTGGAAAACTTAGGCCATCATTTTTATTTCTACTGGAACTACCTGAAAATATCGAAGAATCTGTTAACAGAGCAGAAAACAAAAAACAGAACAGATAGAGCTTTAATGAATAACACAGTGGCGGTCCAAGGGCTCCAGGGGGCCACGGCCCCAGACACTCTTTAGAGGAGAGCGTACACTTTTTTTATTAGAACTGAATAATTTATTCCGAGTTTCAATATTCTTATTTATTGGACAAATGGAGGCTCGAGTATTTTAAATTTTATTCTTATTTCAACATCGATTTTTCTACAACTACTTACTATAAAAAGTTTCAAAGATCACGTGATGGGCATAAAACCATCACGGAATCCCAAAGGATTTTGTCTCATTGCTGACATGAGCAGTGAAATGTTATCATCACCTAAAATAGAAACATATTGCAGAAAAATATAAAAGAGTAAAGGAAGCTCACTATTCTCAAATGACTCTTCATAAGATCCGAAGTCTTCAGGGATTCCATTATCCTTGTCGTTGCTTTTATCAGCAACGTCGGGAGTCTTTAGAATCTCCACCTGGGGGATTATTTGTTCCTTCTTTTCGGCAAGTATAGGTTCTGTATTGGAGAAAATTAGCCAATGTATTTATTCTAACATATAATTTCAAGTTTAAACCTCTTTTGCTCACAATTATGCTCCAATCTACTGATGAGGTAGGGTTGGGTTGTTATAGGGTGCAGTGGGTTAGTCGAACTAACCAATGCAGCGTTGCTGTGTTGCAAAAAGCAGATCTACTCTAGTATGTAAAATTTCCCAGAACTTTACCATGAGAAAATTTCCCAAAACTTAACACATTAATTCCTGCTCTAGTTATCGAAAAAACAAAATAACAAAAAACGTATAATATCACTTTTCAAAGAAATTTTGAAACCACCTTTACAATTGCTGCAAAAAATTCTGCTTCAAGTGGTCATTTATAAGCATCTCTTTAGCATATCTGTTTTATGTACACAATTCAATCATCTTAAGCTAAAAAAGCTTTATATTTCCATATTTATTTTCATAATATATAACAGAAGAACCAAGAAGCCTTGATCTAGCTTGTCTGTCGTTAAAAGACGCTCAGTTAATGTTCCTTAAAAAGCTAGATAGTAGAGTGGAGAGTTTGTGGACACAAACAATACTAAATAGCTTAAAGGGGGAGTAACTATGCTTAGTTTTGGACAGGGACATACCATTTTGATTTTAAAATTTGGACACATAATTCCGCACTTATCGGGAAAAAAGATACCCCTGAAAAATGGCATGTCCACGCTCCCCCAATCTATTGAGTTCCCCCCCCTCCCGTAGCTATGAGACATAATTTTAAATAAAACGTTGCAAACCTGAGTCAAATTCAATCTCGCCAATAAGTAGCCACGAGCGACGAAGATAAAAAGAGCATTTTAAAAATCTTCCTATATTGCCGTTTAGTGAAACCTTTATCTGGAGAATTCCTTGCTCGTTCTTTCCTTGTGCAGTTGGGTAAAAGTTCCCTGTGCTGATAAATTCAACACTATCTCCACTCACTTCCACGCTAACTTTCTCGAACAGTTTAAAGTTGTTTTTGTTCAGCACGTGGAATGATATCGAGTTGAATTTCCTACTGTTGTTGAAAGTAAACAATACGATTGGGTTCGATTTGTACCCAACCCATTCAGTGTATAAATTTGTTCTTGACTCATAAGCAGGACCCTTTGCTGGGACAACCCCATCAGTCAGTTTGCCGATGCCTCCAAAAAGCATGCCAGATGTTTCTAAAGGTGTATATCCATCATAAGTATCATCTTGTAGCGATATGCCCTTGCGAATTTCACCCAAGGGTCCTGAGTATGACACGAGTCCATCTGTAAGAAAATAAATATATAATCAACAATCTGAGGGGAGAGATGTCAAGGACAATCCACCATTTCTTTTATAAAATATGGGCCCATTTTTGTCCTAAGCAATGCGCAAAAAGGTGTCCCAGAAGTTAAGACCAAGTTTAATCCAAGTTTAACCCAAGTTTAACCAGGTACCAAGCCCAGATATTTTCTTATAAAAACCCCAAAATCTATTATCTATGTAATTACCATAGCTTGGATATGTCTAGAAATTTTGCATAGCAAATGCATACCATCTGATAAAAATCTTATAGGGTACCTTAATTGAGTGAAAAATTAGAGAAAATGGAATAAATACCTGAATTTGATAAGAAATTAATCTAACAATTACACGAAAAATGTTCGTATAATCATCAGAGGTGTTTAGTTTTCTAAAAAGCTTGAGGCGACAAATGCCCTATTAAAGACAGTGAAACCGTGCAAAAAAGGCCTAAAACAAAGAAATAACGAAACAGTTGAATTTATGTCAGCATTTTGTCTATATTGACACACTGCATAAAAAAGGCCAACCTCCTGAGCCCTTGAATTTAGTAATAAATGCATATGAAAAATAGATGAAGAATTATTTTAAAAAAGCTGGCTGAAATTTCAAGGCTGATTGAAGTGGATCTAAATGCGTGGGGAGCTTTTACGATCACTGAATTTCGATTTTTATCATGAAATTAAAAATCAGAAAAGAAACATTTATGATAGCAAATAGCAACAATGCAAAATAGTAAGAACTGGACCACCAGTATAGCATTTTTTTAATTCGGTTTAAGCCCCCGCACTTCTTTAGACCCCCTACTTTTTGCAACGCTCTGAGGTGCCTGAAAGGTGTACACGATGCCTTTTTTGGCTTGCACTTAGCACAATGAATGAAAGAATGTGTTACCTCTCTCTTGGGTCCATGCACACCCATACAATTCTAACCTCATACAATGTATGGTAAATCGACTCCCAATGGGAATAATTCTTATCTGCTGCAAAATTATTGGTCGGCTGAAAATATGTTTCACTGTGGAGTTGGTGTCAATGTTCCCTTTGAAAACCTGAAAACAAAGGGAGAAGCAGAAATTAGCAATGATATACAATGAAAATAATTCCCTTGTGATTAAACTTTCAATATAAAGCTAAAAGCGAAGGCAAATATTTCTTGAAAGATAAAGTTTGCGCCGTTCTAGGCCAAGCCTGACAATGGGGTAGAAACATGTGACAGCTTTTTTGAATTCGAGATGACATGGACAATAAAAAAGACAACTTCAAACAGTAAGTGCTGGTTTTTTAGGCCAACTTAGTGAAAGTTTTTAATCAAAATGATACTGCAATGGAAGCATTTAACTGTCTAGCGAAAAAACTTTGTGTTTGATGAAAATGTTTCGGATCTTTCTTGCTTTATAAGCAGGTTTCTTAAAAAGTGATTTGCTTCATAGAAAAGCAGTGAACAACAAAAAACATTTTATTGTTGATGTTTTGAGCACAATTTCCTTCATCCATATAGGCCTACTGGTGTGCTGAATTCGGGTGGAGCAATTTTCAAACTCTGATCAAACCATGCTTAAATAATGAAATGAGTTCAAAACCGGCCAGAATATTAAGCGAGGTCTATACTACTGTAGATAAATAATTAAAGTGAAAATTTTCAAATCAAGAATTGTTCTGGTTGGTTGAGCATCCTTCAAAAGTTAGATGAATCGAGGTGCCAATGAATTTGCATTCTTGAGAATAAGCAGCATTCACTCGAGTCACCGAAAGGTCGAATTATCAAACTCCGGCCTTGAATAGGCCATCGTTAAAACCAAAAAGCTTGGTAATAATTTTGATTCACCTAGCATCGGTTTTAAATATCTAAAAACAGCTAAAACGGTCGTAAAAATCTCTCAAACTGGAGTTATCACCGACCAAAACCTTAAGAATTCGCAGTCAAACTCTGATTTGAACAGACAGGCATCTCACAGATGAACTGTTTTAAAAACATCAAGGTGTAATGTGTTATGTATCAAAATGGAGCCAGCATGCATAACTTGAATATGCCTTTGCAGTGATAAAATTTATTGAACATTGAAAAGGAAAATATTTATCATCTTGTTCTTTCTTCTGAAAAAGGGTAGAAAAAATAATCTTGATACAACAACAAAGTTAAACTTTTTATTGAAATTCTCAAATTAAAATCATCGGGTGGCCAGTAAATTGTATGATGCGAGTTTCAATTTCTAAAAGAGAAATGATTTTTCACAGAATAGGAAGTGAATTATATCACTAATTCACAAACTTTAATTGCAATCAAAGAACATTCATTTTAGAAAATCCTTCAGAAAATTAAAAGTTGTGATTTGCATTGATAATAGTTGATAATAAGAAAACTTAAAGAAAGTTTTATCAAATTGTTATAATCCTCACCTTCCATGTTCCTTGTTCTTTATACTTCCTGTAACTTGTCTCATTATTTCTTTTGTACTCTATTTTAAAAAACTCCACCCATTCTTGTCCATTGTGCCTCCCTTGTGTCGCAATCCCAGTTACTCTGGTGTTTCCCATTAAATCAACTTCCACATACGGCTCCGGATATTTCTTCAAATCAGCAGAACACCACCCGCCACTTAACTTTTCGTGATTGATTCTTGCAAAGTATGGCCTATAGTGCCGGCTGTCTCTTCTTTTAAAATAAAGCCACGATTTCGCAGTGACCTGGCTGTCCTTTATTGAGAGGTCTTCCATTCCAAGTGGCGAGTTGCATTTACCTGAAATGAATATGAATTTTGATTAAAAGCAATATTCATTTCGACGTTTTTGCAAGGAATCCTTAAAAACATCTCGATGAATATTAAGAATAGGAATCCTAAAGATGGCGTTTCTCTAGTCACACAAGAGACTGAAAGAAGTGATAACATAAAAATTTCTCAGCCAGTTTTATGAATCACTTCTGGGCCCGAACTGGCTCCGATGCAGTGGATCTTTTAACATACAAACTAGTGGGAAATTTCCCTACCAGGCCCTTAAATTTCCCCACAAGTTGGCTCATGATTACCCACTAGCAAAGGTTTTCATGAACAAGGGCTTCATCAGAGCTTTTTTGCGTGTATTTATTTTTGTTTATTCTCGACGTATTGCGGTGTTTCATATTTGCTACATTTTTATCGACTTTGCGCCACAAGAACTCCTTGGAGCCCGTCGAGCAGCCTGCTACAGTGGTCTTTTCTTCATTTACATTTTTAGGAATATTGTTTTAAAAGTCAGTTTGACGTGTCTTTAATGACTGCTTGTTATGTCGTTGTCATTTTGTCAAATTATGTTTTACTTCTTTCGTCTCATGTAAATCTCTGGCTCTGTCTGATTTCCTTGCACTACACCAAAGCGAGGTAATGAAATTCGCGGGAAAGTTCTACGACAAATGCTTTGACAGTTTTGTTTGTGTCATTGTCCTGCGAACATGCCAAGGTCTGAAGGGGCGTTATTTGTTTTGTTTATAAGTAACTTTTCGCTGCTGAGTAATGAGTAATGTAAGGGCTGATGTGCAAGACCTTGGCATACTTGACTCGTTGCTTTTGCTTCTGCCGTCAGTTGCGTCATGTTAAGAAAAATGCCCTTTTGTTTCAGTTCCCCACCAGTGAAAATCCCAGTGAAAAGTAAAGACAATCGTCAAACAGTCGTCTACGACAAGTCATTAGTTTATTCATTTTCTTCAAGACTTTTTTAAACAGTTGGTGAAAATGAGTTTGAAATTCTCGGTCAAACGAGATCATCTTTGGTTTAGGCATCTTCGAATCTCGCTTTATGAAAACAAGCAGATCTGATTCAAGTATACACCTTCTCAATTTTTGGATCGAAGCCATGATTCTTTCTCTGAAGCTACTTTGGATCTGTACTTGGATATCAATTTCTGTTAAGCTTCTGATTATCCATTATACAATTTCATAATTTTGCCTTCAAGCTCGATTTTTGAAATTTAAAATTCTGTAATTTTAAGTGCTTAACTGAATTTGAATCTTTGTCCCCCTATTTAAGGAGTTCCTACGTTACACAAACTAACTGACCTTTTCTTTTCAAGGATAACCAAACACGATATTGTAGGACCATTTTTTCCAATCTCATATTAGCAAAACTTAAGCAAAACTTAAGCAAGTGTTTGTAGCTTATTTCTATGACAAAAAACCCTGTGCTGAACGCCTTCAGTGAAATTTCTGGCAGCAAAATCTTTATAAATTTCATCATTTGAGTTTCAGATTCATTTGACCTTTAGATTCAATTCTTTGTCACAAAAATAAACTCTTTACAAACAAAATCCACAAAGACAAACAGAATGAAGCTGAAAAGAAGGTGAACTCTCGATACAAAACTTCGGTGTTCATTTTCTATCAAATAAAATGTAAGATTCTTGAATGAATTAGTTTAGGATTCAATGATCATGACAAACTTATGACAACTTCTATATTCCTTTACATTCTTTAAGATAAAAACTTTCTGAAAATCCCAAAGACTCTTTCTGAAAATGCTTTGTTTATTGACAGAAAACTGGAGGTCCTGAAAGATAATTCGCGCTTCTCTTGACAGGATTTGAAGAACACGCCCGACTGATTATATTTTATAGAGCGCGAGCCTCCTAAAACAAGATTGTATATAATACAGGGCGCGTGTTTATGTTTACTGCCAAAGAAATGTACCTCTATAATTTCAAGGCAATAATGCTTTGCAGATATAGGAATAAGAACGATAATGTTTTAAGCAGTTTATGAAATATTTATGCTTCTTTCTTGCTTAATTGGGAAGCTGTGGTCTATTTGCAATGCTAAACATAACAATATTTGTGTACGATTTGCTTTCCTATGTCCGCATTCAAAAGAATACGCGCAAACAAGACTAAAACCTTTAATTTCAAGGCCACCCTAGCCTCGTGCAATTTATTTGACGAATTTTTATTAAAATTCTGATTGGCAGTTTAAACAACCGAAAATTACTCGATCCTAGTAGAAATTATAATCCTTTACAAAAGGCTTGCAGTTTAATTGAGAATCTCGACTCAAATTTATGCTCAAATTTAATCTCGTTTGATATTGAATATTTATTCGATTTTCTAAGCTAATGATCCGTGCATGTTGAGTTTTTTTTAAGTAAACAAAGTTTTTCGGTTTTTGGCGTCGTAAAAGCGGTATTTTACAAGTCTTTAGTTTGCCACACTTAAACTGTGGAAAAGGAGGCCAAATTAAGTGGAAATTTTGCATTTAAAACTTAAGAATGATTAGTACTGATCTTCAAGTTAAATGCTTAAGGAAGTATGATATTGTTAAGCGAAACAAACGGGAAACAGTGTTGCATAGGAGCAGATGGTGGGCTAGTCTTTGAGATGATTCATTTTAGAAAAACCCAATACACAAACAACCCTTAGAAGTAGATTATACGTAAAAATGAGAGAAAGCCGGTTTAAACTTTATCATAGGAGTTTGCAATAAAACTTTTTAAAAAAGAGAAAAGCAATTTGTCATCAAAAGAAGCAATTTGTCATCAAAAAGGCTATGTCAATCTTGTTAACGAGGGCTCAGACATCGGTAGTGGGTTGCCGCACCCAAAACATGCTTGACAAGGATATTTTGAGAATTTAGCCGTGAGAGAGAAATAGCTGTATATAAACGATGTTGGCAAACGTGGTACCACCATGTGGATACTTAGTAGATTTTCGCAAATAGAAAACGCAGCTGACATTGTAGTTTACCATTGAAAGTCCACCTATCTCTTTGCTGCTGACAGTTTGATATAGAGATCGTGATGGCATTCCTAAGTTGAGTCATCTAAATCTTAGTAGATCCATATTCACATACCTAGTTTTACTTTTTCTTCTTGAAACTTTTACTGGACTTTTTTAATGCACATCAGGTTGTTACAACAATACTTACAATATAGTTCTAGGAGTTCTTATTAAGTATCGTTATAAGAACGTGGGGCTTTATTAGACAGAATGCAGCATGCGTACACAAACCTCTCACAAAATGGAATCTCTATTGATGACCACCTCCCAGAAACAGACATTTCTAAGAAAAGGATAAAAAATCTACACCTGGATATAAGTTGTCTGCTTACTCTCTGTCAGTATCCAACGCTTTTATTGTGAAAAGTGTCGGACGAAAAGTATTTCTTATCCTAAATGTAGGCACTAAAGAACCCAACGTATATTCCTAAGAATGTCACATGAAAGGTGCTTCAGTATACAATGTTTCCGCTGTTTCGTGCTTCTGGATTTATATTGTGATGGAAAAAAATAGGGGAAGGTAGTTCCATAAAAAAACTCCCAGAAAGGCTTTAAGTTCCAGGTCCTAATCGACGTTGTGGATCAAAATAAGACACACTGTACCATAACATTCTATAGTACAAAGATAAATTTACCGAACGAAAAAATACGTCGATTACGAAAGTATCATGTAATTAAAACATTGGTCATTATTTTTTATGTTATTGCCAACCACATCAGTAGCTTGGTACAATCATTAAATAACGATGAGAATTTGTTCTGACGAGGATGAGAATTTGTTCGGAGAAAAATCGAACAGCCTTTATTGAGAAAATTTTTGAGAAACATTGATTTTGTTTTCCTTTCAGACATCGGATGGTAATAGAAAAAGGATAAAAAGATACTTAAGTATGCATTAGAGAATAATTTCTTATTAACATTGAGCTAGAATATGAGCCCATCTTGAGGCTCAAAAATTGAAAAAGCATCCGGGCGCTTATTCGAGGATTTACGGTGTCTGGATCTTAAGGTGACGGGAAAAGCTCAAGGTGGTAAATACTTTTAATAACAAACCAACTTATGTATTGCGAACTCTCTTACAAATAATTCATTTGCTCATAAGAAAATCTTTATCGGGCATTTTTATGTTCAAAATTTCTTCGCATTTTGCAGATTTTATCGGGGATGCACATTACACCCCTCTCATATATTCCTCAACGTGTATTCGATCTTATCTTATCACCATCATTATCACGTGTATATGAAGTAAACATGTGTTATGTACAAAATGTCCTCCAACACAAGAATCTTTGTTGTCAGAATTACTAGGAATTTAAATACTGTGTGGCAATTCTAGCTTGCTTCCCAACATTTCCATAGTTACCGTTACTAGGCTGTTGTAGATTCAGTTGAAGTTTGTCTGATTTAATGAAAAACTTTTGCCTTTAACAGTATTTAACGATTTGTATAAGCTAGTAGACCAAGCGCATATATTTTGAATGGTGTAGCCAATAAAATTGAAAGTCGGTTCATCTTTGTGACCGATTATTTTTCATTTCTTAATTGAAAAAGTTAATATCGTTTGCTGATATCAGACAAAACACGGTGTTTGTTTAGTCGATTGAGCAGAAACTACATTTGCTTTTATTTTCGCTTGGCTTATTCAATTTATCGAAATTTAAATACGGGACAAAATTAACTTGTTATTTAGCCGAGCTTTATTGGAAACAGGAAATGTTTAATTCTTGAATCATGAGACATCGACGCCAAATAAAAACAATGTTTATCGATCACTTTGTAAAAATCTTAGGACGTAACGGCGGTACTCACTTTAAGAAAACCCAGTTTCATGAAAACTCTAGAGATTAATGGACTATTGTGGGATCCAAGTTGCTGTAACTTGAGGCGTTTGCAACTAACGACCCACATTTGGCTTGAGTTTTCTTCATAACGTGACAAGTCTGGTCTATTGCCTTGAAACGAGTTAAATTTGATGGTAAATTTTACCATAACTAGGTTCAA